TTGTCGTCGTCGTCGTCGTCGTCGTCATCCCTCCTCCCTCGTCGTTGTCGTCGTCGGCGTCGCCGTCCTTCCTCCTTCTTCGTCGTTCGCGTTGTCGTCGTCCTCCATCCTCCCTCGTTGTTGTCATCGTTGTTGTCGTTGTCGCCGTCGTCGTCGTCCCTCCTCCCTCGTCGTCGTCTTCGTTGGCGACGCCGTCGTCGTCGTCGTCGTCGGCGTCGGCGTGGTTTTCGCCGTCGTCGACGTCGGCGTCGACGTCGTCGCCGCCGTCGTCGTCGTCGTCGTCGTCGGAATCGTTGGCGTCGTCGTCGTCGTCGGTGTCGTCGGTGTCGTCGTCTTCGGCGTCGTCATCGTCGTCGTCGTTGTCATCGTCGTCGTCGTCGGCGTCGTCGTCGTCTTCGTCGTCGTCGACGTCGGCGTCGTCGTCGTCGCCGTCGTCGTCGTCGTCGTCAGCGTCGTCAGCGTCGTTGACGTCGTCGTCGTCGTCGGTGTCGTCGTCGTCGGCGGCGTCGTCGTCGTTGTAATCGTCGTCGTCGGTGTCGTCGTTGTCGTCGCCTTCGGCGTCGTCATCGTCGTCGTCGTTGTCATCGTCGTCGTCGTCGGCGTCGTCGTCGTCGGTGTCGTCGTCGTCGTCGTCGTCGTTGTCGGCGTCTAAGTCGTTGGAGACGTCGTCGGTGTCGTCGCCCAGCTGGGATGTGCCCAGCAGTCAGCGCCACCGCGGCCGCGTCGGTCGCGCCAAACTAGCTGGCCGCTGCGCGCGCGCTTGGGTTGGCGCGGCCGCAGAGATGGGCCAGCTAACTCCAAACACTCATTGCAATCGTCACCACACGGGCTTTGCAAGCCCAGTTGCGGGTGGGTGGGTGGGATGTTTGCAAGAGCGTGGGATGTGTCAACTCGTTTGTTTAAATCACAGAAAACAGAATCGACTCTACCCCCCCCGGCGTTCGCCGCCCCCCCTTCGGGAATGTAAATCATAAATGAGTATGACCGTATGTCCATCCGAAGTATGAATTTACACCATCCCCGGGAAACCGGTATCGGTCCCCTGAGGCTCCCTTGTAAAAAAAACGATACGCGGGGACATCTCTTGTTCTAACATAAGACTCTTTCGCGAATCCCTTGCCAAAAATGAAACGAAGTGCACACGCGCGAGTCGTCGCGCGCGCACGCCGAAATCCTTCAAAAACCGTCGGTGTCGGAAGGCTTTCGCCATCGAGCTTCCACAAAAACATACAAAAACACCATGTTTCGCAACACTGAGGTGCTAAAAAAGCTTACGCGCGAGCTCTTGCGAAATCTTGAAAAAACCATAGGTTTACAATATTTTTCACAACGTGCTACCAAACGGGCTTCGCGCGCGCGCATGTCGAAATCTGTCGAACGCCCTTGCGCGTGTGCCGTCGCGAGAACCCTCTGCCAAAAAAAAACGAAGTGCAGACGCGCGCGTCGTCGCGCGCGTATGCCAAAGCCCATCGGTCTCGGAAGGATGTCAAAATCGTGTCCAGAAAACCTACAAATGCACAAGGTTTCGCAACGCGGATTTTCAACAAAAGCGTGCGCGCACGCGCTCTTGCGTCGTCGTCGTCGTCGTCGCCGCCGTTCTCCCTCCTCCCGCGTCGTCGTCGTCGTCGTCGCCTACTTCGTCCTGTCTTTCCTCGTTTTCGTCGTCGTCGTCCTCTTTGGCGTCGTGGTCGTTTCCGTCGTTGTTGTCGCCGTGGTCGTCCTTCCTCCTCCTCCCTCGTCGTCGTCGTCGTCCGTCGTCGGCGTCTCGTCGTCGTCCCTCTTATGTCGTCGCCGTCGTCGTCGTCGTCGTTGTCGTCGTCGTCGTCGTCCCTCCTCCCTCGTCGTTGTTGTCGTCGGCGTCGCCGTCCTTCCTCCTTCTTCGTCGTTCGCGTCGTCGCCGTCCTCCCTCCTCCCTCGTCGTTATCGTCGTTGTCGTCGTCGTCGCCGGCGTCGTCCCCCCTCCTCCCTCGTCGTCGTCTTCGTTGGCGACGTCGTCGTCGTCTTCGTCGTCGTCGACGTCGGCGTCGTCGTCGTCGCCGCCGTCGTCGTCGTCGTCGGTGTCGTCGTCGTCGCCGTCGTTCACGTCGTCGTCGCCGTCGGTGTCGTCGTTGTCGTCGTCGGCGTCGTCATCGTCGTCGTCGTTGTCGTCGTCGTCGTCGGCGTCGGCGTCGTCGTCGTCGTCGGTGTCGTCGTCGTCGTCGTCGGCGTCGAAGTCGTTGGAGACGTCGTCGGTGTCGTCGCCCAGCTGGGATGTGCACAGCAGTCAGCGCCACCGCGGCCGCGTTGGTCGCGCCACACTGGCTGGCCGCTGCGCGCGCGCTTGGGTTGGCGCGGCCGCAGAGATGGGCCAGCGAACTCCAAACACTCATCGCAATCGTCACCACATGGGTGTTGCAAGCCAAGTTGCGGGTGGGTGGGTGGGATGTGTGCAAGAGCGTGGGATGTGTCAACTCGCTTGTAAAATCAAATGCACCACTTAGAATGCACCACGTAGCTTGCACAACATGTGTTGAACCGCATCGGCTACACCACGCGTGTTGCACAACATGTATTGCACCACGCAGAATGTACAACATATACTGCACTCCATGTTTTGCAGCACTCTGCACCACATAGCTTTCACAACATATCGTGAACCGCATCGGTTGCACCACATGGATCACAACATCTATTGCACAACATGGGTTGCACCACATAAAATGCACAACATATATTGCTATAAACGCACTGACTGGGGTCCACGCTGGCTAACATCCTTATCCGTATTCTTCTCCCGCCCTCGTTCCACTCACCCGCGCTGCCTTTCCCGACGGGTCAGACCACCACCCAAAGCAGCCTTGACCTCTCCATCATCATCATCATCCCCCTCTACAACGAACCCTCCACAAAAATCAACCTTGCGAATGATCCGAATTATGCAGCTGCCTGTTTCGCGGGGGGGCCCTCTTCTCGCTTACTGCACGCCGCTGGAAAAATGGAGCTCGAGGCAATGGGGATATGTAGGCGCCCTCGGAGCAAACGCGCAGAGCCACGCTGAGCTCCGTTTGGTGCAGATCGGTGCGAAAAATGTGCCGAAACGGCCAGAAACCCGCGTGCGAATGCGCCCGCTGGGGCCGCAGCTGGAACAATCCGTGAAGGAATGTATGCCGAAATGGGCGGAAGGTGGCATGCGACCGCGCCCAGGGGAGCTGCAGTGGAGCTCCGTAGATAGCACGATCAACGTGAGGCGTGTGCCGAGACGGGTGGGGGACGCCATGCGGGCGCACACATGGAGCTGGAGCTCCATTGTTGGGTGCGATCCTTGATGGCCTCGCTGGAATTATCGTTGAAACTCACTACGGGCCACGCGCTTTCCCCCCCCCCTCAGCCAACAACGCAACGCAATCGGCCGAAGCGGCGCCGCGATCACGAGTAGCACATGCAATACGCCCTCGCTCCAGGTGTTCGATAGATGTCTACTGTATGTGGCCCGCCCCGTGGGAGGGATCCGCCAAATTTGGCGGCGGGGGAAAGGTTGGGAACTGCACACTCGCCTTTCTGCTATACGCGCAGGGGGGGCGCCGCGCTGGGGGACGCGCCTTCGGCGAGGGATGTTTTTCCGCGACGGGGGCCCATCTGAGGTTGTCGGCCCAAACAGCGCTCGTCATGAAACGCGGCCCTCTGCCGCAGCACTGCTCGCGATGTGAGGCAACGCGGCTCGTATGCCTGCCCGCTGGGGCGGTCCTCTAGAAGAGTGAGGGCGCTGGCGAGCGCGCAGCGCACGCCCGCGTGGAAAAACAAGGAAACGCCACAATGCAGCTAAGCAGGCGCCCGTGCCCTTGGACAATCGAGGAAGCAGAGAGGGGAGGAGGAGCGCGAGGGATGGAGGAGGGGGAGGAGGAGCACAACTCATCATCGAAGCGGAACACTCCACCGACGAGAAGCAACCAGAAAGTTCGAAACCTCAATCCTCGAACTATCCTCCTCCTCCTCCTCCTCCTCCTGCTCCTCCTCCTCCTCCTCCTCCTCCTGCTCCTCCTGCTCCTCCCCCTCCTCCTGCTGAAACTGATTTCCAAGAGCAAAAAGGGGAGCAGGAGCTGTTCCTCCTCCTCCTCGCTCCTGGGAAGCAGCTTCGCCCACCTGGCAAAGGCAGAGAGAGAGAGAGAGAGAACAAAAAAAAAAGGGGAGGAGGATGTCCTGGGAGGTCCCAGTCGTTCTGCGGAAGACATCGCGGCGGAGCCTGAGAGGCCTTCCAAGCCCCAACACACCAATTGCACCATGAGTCGTCATCGATCCGAGCCGATCGTTTTTTGTGCCCACGAAACGCATGCTCTACAGCAACCTCGGACGTATCAGCCCGCATTGTGAATCGAACCGCACTGCGACCTACCTGACACAGAGCCAGAGGAGGAGAGAGATGAGGAGGGGGGAGGTTACACATAGCTGGATTCTCGAGTCCCTCGAAGAGCCGGGAGTCGACCATGCGTTTGTCGGCGAAAGCGCCAAGGGTAAAGCCGAAACCAGTTGCACGCAGCAATTCTCGCCAACACCTTTTCCTCGCCCACCCCCCTTCGACATCCCTCTAAAGAGAGCCAGATAACCACACGACAAGTTTCGGAGGTCCACGGATGCTTTCTGCGACAGCGCTGACCTCTTTCACGCATCCTTGGGCGGTACCTCCGGCGCCGCCCCGCGCAAGCATCGCGCGCGGGGGAGGAGGTCCGGGGAGGCGATCTTGCACAGCAAGAAAACGTCCTCATCCACAGCTGATGGAGTCTGTCCCCAGATCTGAGGTGAGCGGTGGATTTGGATCCCTAGGAGGCAAGAAGATCATAAATGATACCGCTGTTCGTGATGTCCTCGAGGTCCTGGTGCTCGATTCCGAGGCGGTGGATGTGGACACGTTCTGGCGGTGGAGATCCAGCGCTGGCGGAGAAACCGCCCGCAGAGGCCCGGAGGTCCAGTCTTGTGTGGCTCCCTGGTGCCCTGGGACCCCGCAGCAGGCGGCAGGGGCGCTCGACCGGGGTGCCGGAAGGGTCCCACTGGCAGCCCTGGAAGTGCTGCGCGCAGTGTTCCTGGCCGCGCGGGTCTCTCCCAACGGCGCGCCCAGCGAGAAGCAAACGGGACCTCAGATCTGGCGTCGCGAAAGAGATCGCGGCGGCCTGCTTTCCTTCGATTTGGGCATCCGCGAGCGGATTTTCGGGCCCCAGGCTCGCCAAGAAAACAGTCAGTCCAAGGTGAAAGGCTGGCCATGGGTAAGGGGTCGAGAGCCCCTGGGCCTGCGTCACGAGGAGTCGCGACATCAGAAGGGCAGGGCGCTCTAACTGCAGGGTCCAGTGTCCGAACAGCTGGATTTCATTCGAAGGGACCCTCGACTGGCAAGTCAAGTTCTCAAAGTCGTGCAATGGGGAACCCTCAATGACAAACCAAGGAATAAACCCGAGCCCCGTCCAATCCAACCATAGTCGTCCACATTCCAATGTTCTGCCTGCAAGCAACCTGTCATGAAGATCCCGTGCATGTCGCGGAACACACTGCAACACCAAGGCAATATGAAAACCTTACCGGACAAGGACGGGAAACGTCGCTTTTGTCCACTAGATATGTGAAGTATGCTCTTTTGTTGGTCTGCCACGCAAATATGTCGTGGCGTGCGTGCGTCTGCGCGTGCGCGTGCATGCGTGGAATATGTGCATGTGTGTCCGTGCGTGGTGGTCTGCGGCGCTGCTGTGTTATGCCGGGCTGCTCTGCCGTGCTCCTGCGGTCTGCGTGAACGTATGTTGCCTCTCTGTGTGTGCGTTTGTGTGTGTGTGTATGTGTCTGTGTGTGCGTGTGCTTGTGCGTGTGCGTGTGCCTGTGTGCGTGCCTACGTGCGTGTGCCTGTGGGTGCGGCTGTGTGAATCGATGTCCTGTCTGTTCAGCCGTGCTCCTGCGTTTTCTGCCGTGCTCCTGTGTGTCTGCCGTGCTCCTGTGTGTTTTGCCGTGGTCCTGGTCTGCCGTGCTCCTATGTGTTTTGCCGTGCTCCTGTGTGCTCTGCCGTGTTCCTGTGTGTTCTGCCGTGTTGCTGCTTGTTCTGCAGTGCTCCTATATATGTTTCGTGTGATCTGCCGCGCCCCTGTGCGTTCTGCAATGCTCCTGTGTGTTCAGCCGTGCTCCTGTGTACTCTGTGTTTTCTGCAATGTTCCTCGTGATCTTGCGTGTTCAAGTTAAAATTCTAGACGCTTCGCGTATCCCCACCAGCCGTAGCCCCTTTGGCTCAAGCCGTCTGGTGGGCCTGCCCTCTCCGGGGCAGTCTCCCGCCGCTCAAGGGGGCGCCCAGACGCTGCGCCGTGGGCCCGCGGCCCTGGACCCCCACCGGCCCCTGGGCGCGCCGGCCATTGCTGCAGCCTTCCCGCCGCGCAGACGGGCTCAGCGGCCCGAGGCTCAGATCGGATCAGGGCCGCTGCCTCATGGATGGTCGGCCTGATGGCGAGCGATCGATCGGCGATAATCCTGTCATCCCAGTGGGGGAGAGAGCCGCATCACCCGATGTCGGCCTCGGGACCATTGGGCTGAATGACTCAGGACATACTCGCCCTGGATCTCAGGACACCATCCCGCCGGGGCAACCGTCGCCCCCTGCTCCCTGGAATGGGAGCGCTTCGGCCGATGCTTCGTGTACACGAGGACCGATGGCCCCCAGCCAATCGGAGGGAGGGGCTGATCCCCTCAACCCTGTGATGCACACCGAAGTTGCGACCTTCCGTCGCTACCCTGGACTTGAGATCGGCGGACGCGCAGCGGTAGACGGGGTTGATACGTTCAGCCCTCCGTTTCAAACTGACAGCGCGACCTTCCGTCGCCACCCTGGAGTTAATAATGTCAGGCATGAGGCCCTCCCGCCCAGCTACCCTTCCCTTACCCCCACTCTTCCTCTGCCCACGGCTGGACGCCCAATCTCCATTTCTCCAGGCAGCGCTGGGCATAACAGGACTGCCCATGGCGATACTAGGTTCACGGGGGCCGACGGGCCCACTCCTGAAGCAGTTCATCCTCCCACGAATCCCCCTCCTCTCGGACAGTTCGGCGACGAGCTGGGAGGTGCCCTCGGCTCCCGACGCAGGGACCTCGGTGGCGTGGATGGGGACAGTATGGACCCGACACCCCCAGCAGGCGCCCATGAAGGCGAAGTGGGGGGAGACGGGCACTCACGCCGCCTCGGCCCCGTCTCGCATCTTAGGGGCTTTTGCCCTCACTCCGCCGTGCCCCCCTCTCTGGAAGAGGCCGCCCCGAGTGAGGCTGCTCTCCGCAGCGTTTTGAGCATGGAATACGGGTCCTCGGGTTACGGCGCGCACATCGATGCTGACGCCACTCCAGGCCACCCTCAGGAGCCTGACTGCGGCAGGCGCAGCATTGGAGGAGGGGGTAGCGCGGCCATCCCCACAATTCACACAGAACCTGCGACCTTCCGTCGCTACCCTGGAACGGACTGCGACGGGCAGAGGAACGCCCACGATGTTCAGCCCAGGGAACGGTGTGTAGGGGAAGAATGCACCAGGGAGCTGACCCCCGCGGGGGGTGGTCGTGACAGCGTTGGCAGAATGCAACCCGACGCTGCGACCTTCCGTCGCTCCCCTGGACGCGATGACCGTGGGCACGAAGCCCTCCTGTCTAACCCAACCGCCTCTCTCACCCCCACCGCTCCCATGCCCACTGCAGGACGTCCAATTTCCTTCTCTCCAGGCGCTGTCGGACAGAGTGGAGCGGCCCTAGACGATACCAGGGCTACGGGGGGAGAGGGCCCCGTTTCGGCACAAGCAAACCTTCCCACGGATCCAGTCCCGCTTAGGTCAACTGACGATGAACAGATGAACGTCCGCCGCGGTCTTCCCAGGGGCCAGGTTGACTCGGGTGGCGAGCTCAGGGAGCTGATGCCCTCAGGGGCCGCTCACGAGGGCATAGGCAACAGGAACGGGCAGGTCGCTGCCCGCAGCCCCGGCCCGCTCCATCAAGGCTCACGCCAACCCACCGCCGAACCCCCCCCCCCCCGGGCTTGCCCGCGCTGAGTGAGGCCGTCCCCGCTGGCGAGCTAAGCGGTGGAGCCATGCCTTCCACCCGTGAAGCGCATCCCGACGCCGATGCAGCATTCGACCGCTCCCACGGACCCGAGAGTGACAGGCATAATGCTGGAGAAGGGGGTGATGCAGACATCCCTGAGATACACACAAATCGTGCGACCTTCCGTCGCTACCCTGGATCGGATGGCGGAAGGCTGGATGAGGCCCAAGGCGTTCGACCCAGGGACCAGTCGGATGTGGGAGTAAGGACCAGAGACCCTACCCCCACGGGGGTTGGACGGGGGTGCGGTGGCTGTGTACACCCTAGCGCTGCCGCCTCCAGTCGACCCACCGGAGACGAGAGCGCTAGGCGCGACACTGGTGGAGGGGGCGAGGCTCTCCCCCCCGCGAGACACACAGAACGTGCGACCTTCCGTCGCTACCCTGGACCGGACGACGGCACGCAGAGAGAGGCGCACGGCGTTCAACCCAGGGATCGTTGGCAGAGGGATGCCGTCGTGGACCTGACTACTCGTCACAGGGCAGAGAGCGGGGGCCCCTCCTTTGGACGGACAGCGGCTCGCCCCTCGAGGTCAGCCACACGGCACACGGGGGTCCCGTCCTCACGGACCCCCCCTCCTACCCATCCCCAGATCTCGCCCTGGAGGATGAGCTGCGAATGGAGAACCCGCCCACCCCCTCAGACCTTGACGACCCCAGCCAAACACTGAGGAGCAGAGGGCAAAGCGCTGCGGACCTCCACGCACGGTGGCTGGACGCCACTGGGCACACGAATGCTGACTGGGCGGCCAGCCGGGAGGCGGACGGACCCACCTGTGGCCCGCGCGTTGCGGACGCCAGGATCTCTGGCAGGGGGGGCACCATGAGGGCCCTACGCCGGCACCTTGTGCGCACCGAGGGTCCATGGCGCGAGGTCCCCAACCGCGGAGCGCCGAGAACATGCCGTGAGACCAGCAACCTGGAGCTCCTCATACACCACGCGTGGAAGGGGGCACCGCCCAGGCCACCCAGGCATACGAGCCGACAGCCCCATGCGCACGGCTCCTGTAGAACCAGCTCTCCCTGGACGTTGCTCTGAGGTCGCCACTTCAGCCCCAATTCTCGCCATCCTGGACCACACCTGGCTAGTATGGTCCATCACTGGAGGAGACTATGAGGGGCGTCTGGGAGGCGTTCAACCGGACCCAGTACAGGTCCTCGCCTTCCGCTTTGCGAGCATTACTCATGATCCCAGTATAAGAAGGGAAAGACTGGATGCAGCCAACCCCTCAGTGACTGAGAGACAGCTAGCACGGCTCAAGTACGTTGCCATGGCCGCAGCTGCACACTACTGCGACATAGGAATGGAGCTCCCGAGCGGATTTGACACAGATAGGATGCTCATGCCCACCAGATCCCCTGAGGACGCTGCCCCCTGCACATCAGTGGCCCCAACCGAGCAGACGGGACGCAGGACCCCATGGATGACGAGGTCATGGGCTATGCCCATCGAGTCCTGATTCACAAGCGCAGACAAAACACAGTCCACTTTCTGGACCATGGGGACGTCAGGCAGTGGGCCATCACGAGAGGGAACCTCGAGCGAATGGGAAGTGATGTGCACTCGAGACGACAAGCAGGTAGAGGCCCAGTCCCATGGGTAAAGGCCGCCCTCTCGGGGATACCCGCCAGCTCCGCGGGCATCCCTGGAGTCCCCATCCAAGGCAGCGACAGCAGCGACGACGCGTGGCCATGGCCCACCACAGCTCACAGACTGCGGCTGGGGGACTTTTTCTGCCCAGGAGAGAGATGTAATTTCTGTGGCACCTGGATGCTCCGAGATCCCACAGGGCAAACCTGTATCACTTGCCACAGGCTGGCCAACCCCTGGAGTTACAACCCAGAGGAGCCGCGAGCAAACGCCTCACCTCAGAGTCACCCAGGAGCAGACCTTGGCCAGCCACCCATCAGGCACGCCCTCGACCTCCTGGGCGGGGCTCTGCTGATTCAGCTTGTCAAAGCGGGCATGCGATACGCCC